AGCGGGGGCAGAAGCAAGCAAGAGGTGAACGAATATCACCATGCAGTTCAGCCTTAATATTTCTGTGCTTGTTACGGTAGGAACACTTAGCAGAGGCCTTGAAAGCAACTTGTGTCTTCACTGCACACGTAGCTATGGGAATGCTTATGAGCTCATGTACCCTCACTTGCTTTCTGCCATTTGGGTGGTGTTCTGTTAGCCATGCTGCAGCGTGGACCTTTGCTCTGTTAGATGCAGGGTGCTTACTGCTTTCTTGGGCAGTACCGTGCACTGCCCATGGTTTCCCGTAGGCACTCTGCCTACAGTGGTTGAGGCGGAGTTTGGGGGCATTTGCAAGAGTTTCAGTACAAACAGGTTAACTGAAGCACGGAGGAACCTTACAAAGATCTTGGACAACAAGATGGAGGCTCCAATGAATCTTTCAGCTTTAGGACTTCATGGTTTCAGATGTGAAAAGTTTAGTGACTACTTTTTTTTATAGTAAGATTTCTTTCAGTCAGTCTGGCATTATAGATGGACTTAAGGGCAGTTTTATAGTTTATCTTCAACTTTTAGCTAGTATGTGCTTACTCCTGCTTGACAATCTTGCTTTCCATCACTAACGGTGCAAAGAAAAATGAAAAATCATCATTCAGTAAGGGTATTTGGCACTGTGCTTTATAAATAAAAGTCCACTCTACTCAGGTATTTCCAAACCATGTTTTGTTTCGGTCTTGGACAGAAATTATTGGGAGATGAAAACTTTTTGGTGCTGATGGGGAACAAAGTGAGACTTCTCTGAGCGAAAAAGCAAGGCCTTTGTAATCTAGAAAAGGGGAAAGAGATTCCCAAACAGAGAAGTTGTTGAAACACAGAGAAAAATAGGGGAAAGTATGAACAGTGGTGAGAAAACCAAAATGCCTGCAGGGCTGGAGATAATGAAATGCCAGGAAAAGAGCTGATAAAATATGTAAGATTTGAAGAAAAATATATGTTTAAAATAAAAGTTAGAAGGGGTGTGTTAATGTTAATTTAAAAGACTGCCTGTCCAGCTAGACTGAGAGAGAACTTGTTAGGCATCTATTTTTAAATTTACTGCAGGTGTTTGTAGATCTGCTAAAAGTGATCTTTCTTCAGGTTTCTCCAATGCCTCACAATTTTGTAGAGTGGTTTAGGAGAGTCAACAGTGGTACTGTCAGGAATAGTCTGTATTTCTAAGAGGCAAAGATTAAATTCGCTATCAGAAATACTTTTGTCTGAAGGAAACTTATATGCATTTAAAGTGTATCCCAAAAGGAACAAATACAGCAGAAAGCCATCCTGCGCTGGAGGCGGGAAGCGGAGTTACTGATGTTAAGAACGTTTTCACATTCTTCTAATGCAGAAGTCTTCAGCGGGATTTTATGAGCATCCATTTCATGACAAGAACACTTCAGATATCTTGCAAGACTTCACAATGTCGGATTACGCCTGAGCAAAGGGGAAAACAAGGTGTTTCTCTGGACTCTCTGCTAGTGTATATGTGAATCTGTTTCTTTGTGTCATCAGCCCTCTCTCTGCTAACTGATAGAAATATTTTTTTTTTTTTCCTGCATTTCACTCCTGTTTTCTAGCTTTCTGGGTTCTTCTGCTTATAAGTAAGCAGAACGGACTATCCTGGTCTGGTTGTCTGCATTTGTGTCTTAACTTCAGTGTGACCTGAACATAAAGGCTAAGCAGGTGAAAATAAGGGGTTAACTTGATGTACATCATCCTCACCCAATTCTAAATCTACAAGACAAAATGCACCATGAGTTATTTTGAGTCCAGCTGTATTGCTGTGTCTGTCCAAGTTTGTTGCCTGAAATATTTTATTTTTTGTTCAGCACTTTCCAAATGTGCTCCATAGGGAATGAACGGACTTTTGGGTGTAATTGTTCATATTTGGAAGCTGAAAAGCAAGTAAATAAGCATTGCAGGACCTCTAAAAAATGTGTATCCTAAAAACATACGGTCAAGAAGAGAAAGGAGCTAGGAAAGAAAAAAGCTGATGAAGCTATTCCTCTCTGAGAGGGTCAGAGGGGTTTATATTTCACTGAAAATCATAGATCCGTATGATCCAGGAGGTAATACTAGCAGGATGTAAATATTTACAGCAGTATGATTATTTTAGACTAACCGCTTTCTTTTTGTGGAACATTGACTTACAGGTCAAAGAAAAAAATACTTGGACATACAGCAGATTAATGAACAATGCATTTATCATTTTTATAGGGAAAAGTGAAAGATGGGAAGTTTTGTTATACTTGGCTTCATTGGATTATAACCACATGGTCCAGAAGTGAGCGTTTAAAAATATTGCATGTAGCTTTTTTACGTGTTTCTAAGTTATAGATATGACTTTTTCCTATTGTGAAATACAATCTTAGTCTTCCTCAGCATTTAGCTTTTTCTTTGATTAAAATCCCAAGCTGGAATGAAAGAATTGTGTGACTGAAATTAATCTGTTTAAGCCTGAAATTGCTGGAGGCATGTTGGTGTGCTGGCTGCAGGCAAACACTGGAGATGGTCTTGATTTGAGGAAAATTGTGTCAAAGTAGCTTTGCAGGGCATTTAGGGGTAGGAGACAATTTGTAGTAGTTACCTTGTGCTCTTAGAGCCAAATTTTGCTGTGTTTTTGCTTCAGTGCTCTCTGTGGGGGATAGCTGTGAGTTTCGCTGGGAGCATAATTACAGTATTTTCACACAACTTGATTTCTGTTGTGATGGCATTTGTTTTATTCATTGTGCATGTTGATAAGGGGTTGTGTATATATACACTGCGTGTGTGTACATATATATGCATATATAAACATAAAAGGTAGTTTATTCTAAAGCTAGTCTGTTGTCTAGAACAAAAGGGTACTGTTTTGGGAGATGCTGAGTGCTCTTGAACAAAATTTTCAGTTAAAGGGCCACGTGCTACTTAAATTACTTCTGAAGTCTTTTCTTGGTTTTCAGTAGAGAGATTTTCTTGTATTTCCTTGCATAGGTTAGGATCAGAGGTAAATATTGAATGAAGAAGTAGAATTCAAAGGTAAGACTAAATTTCTTGCCTGTTTGAGTGCCATATTTTTAGATATTTCTTCTTGTAAGTTCCTTCACTAATTTTATTGGAAAGCACTGCATGTGAAGCTTTTTATCAGTTACCAGCTTAACGGAGAGGTGTATATTTTTGTTCTTGGTTTCAGAATAAATACTGCACTTCTAGGAGCTCTATTTCCAGAAAATTAACCTGGGTCTTTTTTCAGTTCAACTGAAGGAGAATCATCTCTTTGTGCCTCTAGATAAGTTTTCAGTTTCAGCAAAGAATCTTGCACCATTCTGTGGGTGTTGGATATAGTGCAAAGAAGTTTTGCAAAATAAACACTTTTGTATCAGAGTTTAGCAATGCTACTATCGCTACATGAACACGACGACTAGCTTCTACTTAGGAGTGAGTGAAAATCTACCCTTTGGATGTCTTTCTATTGTTTTCGCAGCCTTGATTTTGGTTCCCGTGACCTCCAAAAGAAGAAAAAGCTAAAAATCCAACATAAATTGTCAGAAAGCACAATACTGGAATGAAGCAATGACTGTAGACCATAACAAGGTTTTATTTAGAATTTTTTTTTCCAGAATTTTCAGACCAAGTATTCTTCAGAAGAAAAAACAAGATGCAGAAAAAAAATTATGGGAGATAATACCTAACACACAAAACCAGACAAAAAATACGATCCAGAACCTCCTGTCAGCTGAAGTTGTATGACCCAGCATGTTCATTACCTATTCGGTGTATATTTTAAAACCAAATAAAGATTTCTTTAAAAAATATATATATATAAATAAAACTCACCAATATTTATAAAATCTGAACAGAACCCATTCTAAGCAGAAGGATCCTTTCTCTTCCCTCATCTATTTGAATTCTGTTTTTTTTTTTCCTTCTGGAATGTACCCAGAAATGTTTTAGAGTCTTAAATTTATGGCTGGGTGTCACAAGAATTACAGAAAACAGTATCAAGTGTGGGCATTCAGCATGGCATGTGAGACTTCAGAAGCCAAGACTTAAGTTATGGGAAGTCATCCTGAAAAACCTGGATTTCTTTTTTTTTTTTGTGTTAGTAGGTGGTTGCTTGCGAGTACAAATGCCTTAATTAAACTTTTGTCACAGGCCAGGTGTTTTGATTATTCATGTGTTCTCCTTTTTTTTTCCCCTTTTTTTTTTTTCTACCGGGACAATGCAATACTACTACTACAGTACGTTGAGGTATAAAGTAGATGATCATTGTATTTGGAAATAAAGTAGGTATATTTTTCTTATATAAACGGTCTTACTTCTCACTTGAATAAGTGACTCTGATCATTTATGGTTAGCTGTAGTTACTGTCTTTTAGCCCTAAATATTTTTTTTATTTTTGCTACCTTTCAGAAAGCTGCTTCTCCCCAATGCTCGTGTTAGGATAAAAAAGATTAATTCATATACTTACTCAACACAATGAAGTGTGCAAGTGGAGAACATGGGAGGCATTTGCACAACTTTTTAGGGACCTAGATTTCAAAGGCTTCTTACCTGTTGGGTCTGGGCGAACAAGAGTACAACGGGTTACATGAAACCCAAGAACAGCGTACAGAATAACCTTAGGGCAGAAAAACCCAGCAGCTGTTATTTCAGAGGCTGTGTCCCGTGGCGCTCATGGAGGATTGCTTCTCCTCCGACAGCTGATCCGCAGTTGCAGAGCAGGTCCAGGGCCCTGGCAGCGGGGAAGGGGGAAGCCCTGAGCCTGCCAAGCTGCCCCAAGTCAGCACCCAGGGCACCAGAGGGGCTGGGGACCCCTCCTGTGGGCACGGCTCGCTGGCTGCGGCGGGTTGTTGCTTGCCAGGGGCTTGGATTTGGGATGTTGCAGAGGTGTATGCCCAGGGGTTGGCACCGCCTGACCCCCAGCACCTTCTGTCCTTGTCCCCAGAGGTGTACTGTGGCTTTTGGTATGCTGGAGATGCCCCCCCCCAGTGCCTGGTGCCGACATGGGTCAGCATTGGGGTAACAGCTGGGGACCAGCTGTGCTGCTGCACTGCGTTATTCTTCAGGTGGGAAAGAGGTGAGGAGAGAAAGCTGTAATTGCATTTAACATAACCCCTCTGCTCTCAGATCTACCAAATTTAAAATGGTTGGTTGTTATTTGTATCTTTATTTTTACTATTAGCAGACAGAAGCATATTAGTAAAATGATGAATGACATGTTTGCTTATTGTGGGTATTGATTGCTTTCACTTTGACAGGTCTGCAATGCACACACATGAGAAAATCCAAGTAGACTTTATGCACTTGACATGTTTGACTGAATTGCAAAGGTCTAAGAATTTGTTCAGGAAATTAGTTCAACGTGACATGCTTCTGAAAGAGCCGCTCTTTTGTTACATGTATTATAAGGATGGATTATTAACTGAAAAAAAATATCAACAACAAAAATGCAGTAGGGGATTTGTGTGAGATTGCCCTTTTGAGCTGCAAGCTGTGGCAGAAGCAGAAGTGTGAATAAACTGCATAGGAAGGAGTGTTGAGTGCAGTCTGTTAATCAAATGTTCTGTTATATCTGACACTTATCTTGTGAGCAGGGCTGAAAGTCAAGTGCCTGCAATCAGCAGAGAAGTGTAGATGCATTTTCATTATAAATTAAGTAGTCTAATTGTGTTTGGTTGGGTTTTGTTGTGGTTTTTTAAATTATATTAGGCCCTTTCCTGGCAAACAGAAATATTTTGTGATGTTTTTAAATGGGCACGTGTTTTGCACGCTGTGAGAGTGTGGTTGTGGCTCTGATAGGACCTGACAGTCCAGGCAAACCCTCCTCAATGTCTTCACTCTGTGATTCAGACTTGGCATGTTCTGCTTAGGATTTTAGCCATGCGTTTTCAGGCTGCCTCCTGTGCTGACACTTGTATTCGGGAGCAGCTTCCCATAGACCCAGCTGCCTCACTGCTCATCATCAGCCCTTCCTTACAGTGCTCTGGTCTTTTCCTAGCTTTAACAAAAAGAAATTTAAAAAAAGCCAAAGGAAGAAAAAGTTAATTTGCTGGGGAGGGTGTGTGCCATGTCCAATTGAACTGTCTTACTGTTTTGTTTTGTTTTTTTTTTTTTCTTATCTCATACGTTTTAATCTCCTGTCCGTATCAATCCCTTGGGATTTCCCTCACCCACCCATATATATTTGCATTTATTTTTTTTGCCTGCTCAGTACACATTGGAAGAGCTTATTCTATGAATGGTGTTTGTAGACAACGATGATTAAAAGATTTAGTAATATCCAGATTCCTCAGGGTAAAGACTCTTCACCTGACCGTAACACCACTATAGAGGACAACTGACAACCTCTGCTTATTTTATTCTTGTGGATTTTTTTTAAGACAGGCCAAGATCCTCACTTGTGCTTGCTGTTTCATAAGAGCTTGTTTGGAAAATCTTGTTGAAGCTGTATTGCAAAACTAATAATTTGTTTTCAATTGCTTCATCTTTCCTTTTCTATTGCAGCAGAAACTTTTTCAGAGATGAAAATATTACTGAATGCATTAGATCAAATTCTGTGCATTTTCTCATCCATTAAATTGGTCACATTAGGTGAGATGCAGTAGATGCATTGTGAGTAACTTGGTACTATCTCCAGATGATGTTTATAGGTAATGAGAAATGCATGGGAGTATTTGACAGTGACTTTAAATTTGTTTCAATAAAGTCTATAACATTAATAAAATATTGAAAAGGACAGGAATAAACTAGGCAAATTTTCTCACTTTTTAAAATGTTTTAACATACGTGAATCCTGTATATATGAATACATGAATCTTATCCTTGAATACTTTATATTCAGATTAAGTGTTTTAGATCATGCTGGTTTACATTTAAAATGTCATGTAGCAAGATAAGTAGATGCTATAAATCTCAAGGAGTTTTTTTTTAGTCCAAGAGGGAGGAGAGTATTGGAAGAAAAAGCAACGATTTCATCAGTAGCTTTATTATTCAGCTCTGTAACAGGCATTCTGCATCTGCTTATCATTCAAAGAAACCCCAAAAGATGAATGGATAGTTCATTCATTATATGGTGCCAGCAGGGAGTCACCTTATTCAAATAATCTGACTGGTAGTGTCAGTTTGGCAAAAATCCAAGTTTTGAGTGATGCTCCTTAGATTTTTGTGTGTGTATGCGGTTTTTACTGCAGCATCATTAACCCTTAGGGAAAAAAAGATACAAAGGAAATAATCCTGTAAAGTATTGAAACTTTGGTGGGTGCTGAAGGAGTTTGGTGCTTTGTGGCGACGGGTCCACTAATTGTTTTACAAAAGAAAGAATGAATATATGTAGGTGATTTAACACCAATGGTTCCAGTAAATCCTGGCATCTCTTGGAAAAATACCAAGAGGTATACCAAGGCAAGGTATGCTTGCAGTATGTTAAGATTGTCGGATCTAGCCTTCTGATGGAAGAATGTGAAATCTAGAGGAGAGACTTCTCAGGTAGTTATGGGCATTCATTTATTTACATTCTAGCTCCAGAAAGTTATAATTACTCTGGTCTGGGAATCTGTGTTTTACTTGTTGCTGCTGAGACTTTTTGGTACTTTAATGTGTATGGGACTAAAGTTGCAAATGCTCTGTTATCAAAGTCCTGACTCATTACTGTGTTTTGATGAATAGCGTTTAGAACAAAAAAGCCAGCCTTCAAAATGGTTTTGCTCAGTCATTCTGCAGTAGGGTAAGCACTTAGTCATTCAGATAATACTATACAACAACAAAGAGAAGTTTGATAGAGGCTGCTAGCATGAGTGTAGAATATTGAATACAAAGGAGGTATCTAGAAATAAAGAGGCCAAAAGCTCCTTCGTAACCTCCCTGTGATTCTGTACAGCCACGTACAACAGACCTGTAAAGAACAACAGGGGCACGCTGCAGAGTGACCGTTTCAAGGGCTGGAGCGGTGTGTGTGGGGAGCTGAACAGCAAAAGTTCTAGCTGCTTGGCTTTCTTTTTTGTTGTTGGTGGGTTTTTTTTGTCCGTAGGCAATCTTTTAGCAGTAACGTTGCCTGCGATAATGTGAAGGGTTCACTGGCAGACTCAAAGGTAATAAAGCAGTAGCTAAACAAGTTAAAGTTCCTGTAGTGTCTTCTTTCAGTAATTTGAAAGGTCTAACTTCAGACGAGTTTTAATCTACTCTGTTAATTTTGAAATATCTAGAAAGATGGTGTGGGTTTCTTATAAATTCTTCTTTTATGTCCTTGATACAACATGCTGCTTAGTATTAAAAGGTTTGTCAAAACTTGTCTCGGTGGGAAAGAATTTGTACCTGTAGTTTACGAGCATGTATTTATACCTGGACTGCTTCTGAAATCCAAATCAATGGGCATGTCCATATAACATTTCTGTTTCTTTTTTTTGTGCGTGTGTGTACAGTAGGTATTCCACTGAAGTGTATTTCTTCCCAAAATTATTCTGATGTGACTTTCTAATCTAGAATAAGAAATATGTGCTCCTTTATTATATGCTGGTTAAAGTTATGTCATTGCTCAACCTTGGAAATGAAGCAGGTCTCTGCAGCTGGCAGAATGAAGATTTCACACTTCGTTCTAACTCTAAATCATCCTCTGGCATTGCACCTTAAAATCAAAAACCTATTGTGCATGTACAAGACTTTAGTTTCTGTTTAGGAATCTAACAGTTGCTATTTTTATTTTTTTTTCAGTCTCCAGGGCTGGCTTTGCAGGTAGGAAGGTAAAGAAGGCACTAGCAAAACATATGCTTTTATCTGAAATATTTCTAATTTATTTTTTCTCCTGGTGGTTAGTAGGAGTGCCTATGAAATATTGTGCTACAAAATAGTGATTTTTATGCAATAGAAATGAAAAGATTGTTACTTGATTGTAATGATCTGTACATAATGCTCCTCTTAATCTTTGACTGATGCATCTGTCTAAACTGCCTGAATGCTTATAAAAGTCCAAGATAGTGTATAAGCTGTTATTTTTCATAATTCAAACATAGCAATGCTTTGATATAGCAGTGAAATACCTTTTCCACTTGTGGGATTTGAGGGAATGGAGAGGATGGTTTGTGCTAGAGAATGCTCCATGGTATTTCTGGTGTTCTACCCCTACTCCTGATTGTTTTCGTGTTGTGGCTGCAATCATTGGGCTAAATGCATCATCCAGAAGTGCTAGGTTGAAGTTTGTGAGCACGTTGGTGCTGTCTATTTTGGATGTGGCCTTTGGAGAGTGTTCTACCATTTTGAAGTCACCCATTGAAATTAGAATTTGGGGACAACTGAGTGATATAAGTAAAAGAAGAAAGAAAGTTCATGTCATAAAACAGTTGAGCTGGGAATCTGAGTATATAGCGTGCAGCATCTAGATTACTGATGACAGCGGAGGAGTTTTCTTTTGGTGTCAGCAGAGACAAAGAATTACACCTTGGTTTAGTCGCATCAGTTGGGAGTGGAAGTGAAAAGGACACACCTTGTACCTGGAATCTTGCAGAGAAAGGTCCTTCATCTGGTCATTTAAAGTTGCCCTTTCAGTTCAAAATGGGCTGTGTTAGATGCTTAGTTATCTCCCAATTAAATTGGAAGGCAGAATTAATCTGTATAATAAGATTCGAGGCATCTAAATGTAAAGCACTATAGCAATGCAAAGCACTATAGCAAACTACTAAAATTGCCTTGTGAGGGGGAGAGCGGCGTGACTGACACATACCTCCTTCCTTGCTGGAGAAGGGGGTACTGAGGAGTAGCTCATGGTGACAGTTTCACGGGTGTATGTGAACTGTGTTGGGCTGCGTGCAGCTCACAGGGTAACAGTGGTGCCCAGTCAGGCACTGTGCTTGGTTCAGGAGGAGGTGTGAGGGGAAGTCATAAGGGTTATGCCATCCACACAATCTAGTTAATTCTTGTGCCTGTAACTTAACTATACTGCCTTCAGTTTTAACAACAAAAAAAGTATATACTGTTTTCCCAGCCTAATGAATGGCCATAAAGCATGTAAGTAGCTTTGCACATTAAGAAATTGAAGTGAAAACTCACCAGTGTTACAAGAGTAATGTAACACGTTCAAGATTTTCTACAGGAAAAAAAGAAGGGGGGAAGCCTCAAAATCTACGTCTTATTTCTAGTCATCCGAAGTAAATCTCTTGAACTTATGTTTTGAGATGTAAGATTTGCTCTGTGTGTGCTTTCACATTTAATATTTCCTTAGTGCCTAAAAAATTACAAAACTTCAGTCATATTAACTCATGTAACTGTGAACTAAGACAGCATCAGAAAATAGTACTAGAGTCAGGAGGTGCCTTTAACCTTTAGATTGTGATGTATAGCTCTGGTTGTTATGTTTCTAGCTTTTACTGGTTTTTTTTTTTTTTTTTTTTACCTCCCTCTTCCCCAGTGAATTTTTATTTTGGTCTCACTGTCTGCCAGTCAGAAGTATTTTCTCAGAACTGAAATTTCTGCTGACGTGTCAGCTTCAGACTCTGTTATAATTTGATGTCACAACTGCAGGTTCATAGCAAGGTCTTGCTTAAGACAGATAATGATGCTTCCTTAAGACAAGACTCAAGACAGATAATAGGTAGATTAACTAGCTCTGTTGCACAGCTCTAATGATGATGTTATCTACCAAATCAAACTCCTCAGGGTTATAGCTATATGGCAAATAAAAAAAGCACATTTGATATCTTAACTGTTGATTCAAATTGGTCCCAGAGGTGCTGAGTCACATGAGTAAAGGGTTGCAAATAAGGCTTTGAACGTAGTCGTGGACAATTTCTTCTTCTGTAATAGTGCATTTTAGGCTACTCCTGTTTTTCAGATATTTTTCTTGCCTTGGAATATCTGAAAATTGCTAGTTATGTAAGAAGGATAAATACGAAGCTCTGTTTGTACTTATAACTGATTTTCTTTTTTTTTTTCTAAACAGGAATGAACATCTGCACAGATGCTCTCAGTGCAAGGTTGCTAAATACTGTGGTAAATCTTGTCAGGTAAGATGAAAAATAGCAGCTATAAAGGGTTGAAGAAAACAGGCATTTGACTACTTTACTTACAGGGTCTCCATGCATTTTGTGCATTGTCATACCTCCACACTGCAATAAGTTTGTAGTTACGGACAGAGTGTGTAAACATGCTGCCTTGTTTTATTTGAGTACTTTTATAGTTACAGGTATAAGACTATAATCAATGCGACAGACAAAACTAAGGTGAAAAGTGTGATGCTTGACTGTGCTTGGTTAGTGGGGGAGGAATAATTCTGAAGGCTGTAAGTCAATTTTGCAGTAAACCAATTTGTATTTCAGGAGTAATTTTCATCATAGCAAAATATATATTCCGTTTTTTAAAGAGGAAATAAAGGTCAAGAACGTGCAGAGAAGGCCTTGGCCAAAACTGCATCCCTGAGGAGGTTTTCAAGAAGATGGAGCCAGGCTCTTCACAGTGGTGCATGGCAGGAGGACAAGGGACTACAGGCTTGAGTTGAAAGAAGAGAGGTTCACATGGGATATAGGGAAAAGCTGTTTCACCTTGAGGACGGCCAAGAGGTGGAACAGGTTTGCCAGGGTGTTTGTGTCATCTGCATGCTTTGAGGGTTTCAAGACTCCACTGGATAAAGGTCTGAGCTGGGTCTGACCCCAGAGCTGACCCTGCTTTGCAACTAGACATGTCCGTAGATCCCTTCCAACCTGAATTATCCTGTGATTCTGTCCTATGAAACAGTTCTTAAAGGTGTTCAGACCGAAAACCTTAGCTTTTATATTTGGCTTGTCACTTAAGCACACGCGCAGAACTTGGCAGGACTTGCTACTGAGTGGACATGCAAGCATAAAAGACTGTGTAAGGTCTAACACAGCAGAGAACGAGGCACCTGAGATTTGAACCATGAGAGTTGCCTTACAGAACCCTTGAATTTTTAAATGACTCCTCTTAGCTTTGCATTGTGATTTCTGGTTTGTTTGTTTTGGTTTTTTTTCTAAATAGAGAAAAATTAAGAAAACCAACTAATGGTCAAAACAGACTAGTCGTGATACTATATTAAATACATATGAATTTAACTTTTTAAGTCATCCTTATGCAAACAATCAAACATTCAAATGATCTTTTCACATATCATGTGCTTCTATAAACAATTCTGCCTTAGTATAATATGTAGTGTTCTCAACATGCCAGAAACCCCTCCCTTTTGGGATTAAAACATATGGAGAGGGAAAGGAGGAAGATATGTCATTTTGATTCATTATATGGCAAATGTGTGCAATGTACATTAGGTGCTTACTGTAGCATCAATAATAATGCCACAGGTAGATTTATTATGGGAGATCATAAGGAAAATATGACTGTGAAGAATATAAAAGACCAGAGTATTTGCAAGGTAAGTTTAAAACAAGTATCTGCCAGGAGGGTCATTGGTAAAGCTTCTATTGGCAAGTCTCTAATGGGAAATGAGACTCTGCTGACACTGACCTGCACAAGCAAATCTGCAAGGTGTAATGCAATACCGTTTCAACTTAGGTGTAGTAGCAATGAAGTTGGGAAGTGGGACTTTCTCCTTGGAGAAAACAGCTAGGTGAACATGCTTCAAGGATTCATACTGGCTAGCCTGAAGCCATCTTGGCTATCTTTGCTTTGTGCTTCCTGCTCTAGGGTTCGTGTGCTTGAAACCATCCACAGTTGTATGTACTGATTTCAGCGAGACAAGCTGCTGTTGCTAAAAGTAGTCTGTACTTAAAATGCTGTGTATTTACTGTTACATAATATTTTGAACTATTAGTAAATTAATATTGAATTAATAGTATATAATATCCCATGATATTAGGTAGCAATTGAGAATAACTGAAAAAATGTTATTTTCCAGTCAAAACAGTGAATTTGTTGGAATTGATGCCTCAGGGCAGATGATCCAGATAAAACTGAGACCAGCCAGATCTGTTTGCATTTGAGGACTGTCCTCTAGTTCATATTTCTTTCAGTAAGCTAGCTAAACGGCTGTGTTTTATGGCAGCTGTTAGCAAAGCTCTCCTTGGCCAAGCCAAAGGCTTTGTGCTCTATTTAGGCTCTGTAGCTTTAGTGCAATTCGTTAGTATGTGCACTTCTAATTGAACTAATTGCTGAACAAAATAAACAGCAGGGTATTGAATGAAATTGCACTTTGCACATTTGAAAAAGTGAATATTGACAGAACTGGACTATTTTAGTTTTATAAATACAGATAACTTTGAAATGCAAATTGTGCTGTTGGATTTACAATTTACACTTAGTTGCAGAATGATTTGATTATTTTATTGATGTGTGTTAAATGAGTCCTACAACTTGAAACACTTAGGCTTAAAAACTGTCAGTTTTCTGGTTAATGCATTAAATGAAATGAGAATTAATGTAAAAATCTGACTAAAAAAAAAAGGGATTAATCTGAGTAGCTGAACTAGGTTTAGGATAAAGGTGGACTTTGTGAAGAAAACTTCAAAGTAAATGCAGTGGGGATTTCTATGTTAGGATGTACCAAAATAAACCATTTTTAAATCTACAAATATCTTGTAAAAATCTTAATTTGATTTAAAGTGTCAGGTGGTTAAGAAAAACTGTCTTTGGGCTAGCCTATAGGAGAAGAAATAGTCTGTTGAAAGATGTTTCCCTTTTTGGAAATTGTTATCCTTTAAGGAGTGGGCAGAGCCAGGAAACCTGAAGAAAACTATGCAGGAATTAGAATGTCCAGTTTGTAGAAGTCTCCATAATGTCAATATTGAAAATTACAAGTGAGTTGTGCCAAATTTCAAAATTTCCTATTATTTTTTTTTTCAGGCCATTTGAAGCAGTTTGCTTTCACTTTTACTGCTTTAATTTACTTCAAAAATATTAGAAACGTGGGACTGGAAGTTATCACAAGAGATCCTTTGGGCTGACCTTTTTCAACTGAATTCTGATTTCAGGATCAAGAATATGTAGACCTTTGGCTTTTGAACTTTTTTTTTTTTTCAGTTGGACCTCATTGACTTGTGCTCCTCTTCAACACTTCTCTATTGTAGCCCCTTTCCCCCTTGTTTATGCCTAATTTCCTGGAGCTGCCTTCTAGCAGTGCTGCGTTGGCTGGGTGTCCCTTCAAATGTAGAGTTACCACATCTGCTGCTTCTTGTATTCACTGCTGTGATCTCTCCTGGCAATGTTTTTTAATTTGGTGCATCCCATAGATCAGGGACCAGTGATATAGATGCTAATCCCTGACAAATGCGAAAGTCATTTCAGGCAGAACTCAGAATTGTAGAATTGTTAGAGTTGGAAGGGACCTTGAAGATCATATAGTTCCAACCCCTCTGCCATGGGCAGGGACACCTCCCACTAGACCAGGTTGCTCAAAGCCCCATCCAACCTGGCCTTGAACACTTCCAGGGATGGGGCATCCACAGCTTCTCTGGGCAACCTGTTCCAGTGTCTCACCACCCTCAGAGTATCAAATTTTTTCCTAATATCTATTCTAAATCTACCCTCCTCCAGTACAAAACTGTTACCCCTCACCCTATTGCTACACTCCCTGATAAAGAGTCCCTCTCCACCTTTTCTGTAGGCCCCCTTTAAGTGCTGGAAGGCTGCTGTAGGGTCTCCACAGAGTCTTGTCTTCTCCAGGCTGAGCAACCCCAACTCTCTCACACTGTCTTCATAGGAGAGGTGTTCCAGCCCTCTGATCATCTTTGTGGCCCTCCTCTGCAGTCAGCCTGACAGGTCCATGTTCTTGTGTTGGGAGCTCCAGAGCTGGATGCAGTACTCCAGGTGGGGTTTCATGAGAGCAGAGTAGAAGGTCAGAATCACCTCCCGCAACCTGCTGGCCACGCTGCTTTTGATGCAGACCAGGATATGGTTGGCCCTCTGGGCTGCGAGTGCATATTGCCAGCTCATCTTGACCGTCTCATCCACCAACACCCCAAAATGCCTCTCCTCAGGGCTGCTCTCAATCCATTCTCCACCGAGCCTGTATTTGTGCTTGGGATTGCCCCAGCCCACGTGCAGGACTTTGCACTTGGGCTCGTTGAACTTTGAGATTCACACAGGCCAACCTTTCCAGCCTGTCCAGGTCCCTCTGGATGGTATCCCTTCCCTCCAGCGTGCTGACCACTCTGCGCAGGTTGGTGTCATTGGCAAACTTGCTGAGGGTGCACTCCATCCCACTATCCATGTCTCCGGCAAAGATGTTGAACAGCACTGGTCCCAGTACTGGCCCCTCAGGAACGCCACTCATCACTGGTTTCCACTTGGACTTCGAGCTGTTGACCGCAACTCTTCTGAGTGCGGCCATCCAACCAGTTCCTTATCCACCAAGTGGTCCATCCATCAAATCCATGTCTCTCCAATTTAGAGACAAGGGTGTCGTGTGGGACAGTGTGAAATGCCTTGCACAAATCCAGGTAGATGATGTCACTTGCTCTTCCCTTATCCACAAATGCTGTAACACTATTGTAGAAGGCACCAAATTTGTGAGGCATGATTCACCCTTAATGAAGCTGTGTTGGCTATCATCAATCACCTCCTTCTTTTCCATGTGCCTTAGCATAGTTTCCATACAGAATGTGCCAAAGTTTCCACATAAAATGTGCCATTGTCAAACATTATTGAAAGGGCTTAATTAAAGAGAAAAAAGACATTCTGTAAAAATTTGAATAATCCTTTAGAAATTACAAATTATGTCTTTTAACAAATCAAAACCTTCCAACGGAAAAATATCCCACTTTCAAGTGTTTTTTTGCTTTGGTTGGTGTTTTTTTGTTTTTTTTTTTTATGAACTGTAGTCCTTAACTGTTGTTCATTAGCACATCAATATGCAGGAAGCATTCATTTTTTTGAATCTGCGTAGGAGACAAGGGAAACCTTCGTTTCATAAACATTGGTTTAGGATCTTTCATTGGCTTAGGGACCATTGGGAGACAGGAATAGCACATGTCTATGAAGAATGGATGTACATTGGCAAAACAGCTCAGCTGAAAATATGCAAGATCTTGCAGGCAGATGTGATAGGTTTTTGCTGTGCCCTGACCCAATTGTCCAGTGAAACCCAAGTACGCATTGTTTTTTGCGTGGTGCTGCTTCAGGAAAGACAGACTCTCAATCTACCACCAGTAAACAGGTATATACTGCTGTATCCTAAGCCATGTAGGTGCTGATCCTTTTCACTTGGGTAAAGCATGAGGAATTGTACTTGGGATACATTGAGCTTGAATGAGAGACAATGATTTGGGAGGAGATAAAAGGAAGGATATTATTTCTGCGTTACTAAGTATAGTGAAGCCCAGAGAAGGAGGGCTGGGTGCTGTGCTGCACTGTTTGCTCGTCTTTCTTTGCCTCCTTCTGATAGTGTTCATTTCTAACAGGGAGGGGAAAAAAATCTGTTGCAAAATAGGAAGACCTTCCCTGGTGGGGAGGTAGAAGAGTTGTACCAGTGGCTGTACCTCTGCGCTATAGTATTTATGCTCATGATGAATGCAGGATATAAAAACCTTGACTGAAAGCAAGGATACTCACTTAAGAAAACCTCACACAGAGAACTGTGGGACTAATATAAGCCCACCAACAAGTATTGTTAGAGAGTGACTTTAAAAGTAGATCTCTCCAGGGTCACGAATCTTCATGGTTTCATACTGTTCTGTAATTTGTATCCTTGTTGTATTAGTAGTGAGAAGACATATTGTTGAATTTCATTATAGTTAATGCATTTGGAGCTTTTCCCCCTCTCCCTGGTCAGTTGGGAGGAAGTGAATGGCGGTCCCCATTCCAGTGCTCCTTCTGCAGAGGACTCTAAGTCCTTTTTGGCATTGGTTTTGGCTGAAGCGCTGTTTTGCAGAAGGCGCGTCTGAACTGTTCTTCTCACGTGGGAACACATCTCAAAGAAATGTGGCATATGATGCAATGTGGTACTGCATATTTCATCTCATTAGGCTTTATTGGTTGGGTAAGCTATTAATCATTTTGATGTCACCTCTAG